CTTATTAGATTTAAATTTGTTTTATGTGGTTTACAAAGAAAATTGAAAAGCAAGCCTCTATACAACGAATTTTCCATGTAACGAACTTTTTTCGGGATTTAGCGGCTTCTTTATACAAAGGTCCCACTGAATATATAAAAAAAAAGTCCTCGTACTTACGAGCGAATTTCGTTTTGATTAACAAAATAAAAATCGAATCTATAACTAAATATTATATTTACTTAATAAAATCAGGTAATATATTTTTATATATATAATTAAATCCATGTAATTCTAATTATAGCATATGTTCCTGTTCAAGGCTGGAATCTTTTATTTTATAAAATAAATAACCCAGCCGGTTATATAGAATGTAAAATGATTGGAGTAAGTCATGCCGCAATATTCAGCTAATCGAGGACTTTTGACAATGTCTGTCTGCGTTCTTTCCATTAATAGCCCTCTTAAGGAATATATTGGGTCTTTAAAAATCATTTTATTATAAACTTTCCAGCGAAGAAGAAGATGTGATTATGTAAATTAAGACTCGTATATAAAGATTAAACTTTCGAGTTAAAGGGAGGCAGGTGAGACTGCTAACTGATAGCAGTTATTGATTAACGTGAAGTGAGGCGTGAATACTAAGTAGCTTATTTGTGTAATATTGAGATTGAAGATTTGGTCAATTAAAAATTAAATTGGATTAGGTCGCTTGGAATTAAAAGGTGTTTTGTCTGGACCTATATGATCCGATTTATTAAGTCTTCCAGTATCTCTTCTACCTTGCTATTACTTCCAAATTTAGTAATTGGTGCATTTCTTAACTTGAGTTATTGAACTTGTGTTATTCATAGTTGTGAATAAATAGAAGTTAGTTTGAATGTAACTAATCTTTCTTCCGATCCTCACACAATTAATGGACGATGCGGGGAGACCATTACAAATGGACCTCGTAATTTTAAACCATGGCCAAATGACGAGGATAAAACTTGAGCTGCAAGCCCCTCTTCTAATTTCCACGCCACACCAAAGGGACGACGTTTGAGCCTCGACGTATTTTACGTGCATGGGCTCCCTCTGTTTGGCGAGTCTTCAGTGGTACTAAGCTCGAACTCATCACACGCCGGCCACGAGTCCGTTACCTTGACTACTAAGCTAAGTAGCCGAGTAGTCATATACGCGGGTTCGAAACCTAGAAACACTGAAGATCTTCTGTGTAGAGGGGATGATGCACGTTAAATTGATCGAGGTACTCCCATTGGGATGGCGTGGACATTTGGAGAGGGGATGCTATATCTGATGCTATCCTCGACAATGGAACATGAATCAAAATTTCAAGGTTCGCGGTTAGTCGCACACGAGGGCTTTTGGCGGCGGGCCACGTAATTTTGAACTATGGTCAAGTGACGTGGACGACACCTGAGCTGACACACACACACACACACACACCCTCCTCTCCTCATGTTACTTCACAGTAAGAAGTGAATTAAAATTAAGAGATCCGTCCTCTATAGACTTTCGTGTGTTTTATAGAACACAACGTTCATTCAAAAGAATATATTTTATAGAGCAATAAATAAGTTATTTTCTAAGTTTTACAATTTTTAATTCACATTCATACAAGTATGAGGTTTAAAGTCTTTACCGATCATTCATATTATAAAAGATTAATTTTTTAAAAATAGTTGTGGTTAATACCGAATTTTCTTTAAACATTTATTTTTATTTTTTTAAAAAACAATCAAAATTATTTAAGTCCTCCAAAAAAAAAAAAAAAACTGAACAGAATCACGGATAATTCCTGTTTACATGGGTTTTTTTAACTACATGAAAATATAAAAAAATCCCGTTGATTTTTTTAAAGTACGACATTGGGTATCTATTTATTATCAAATCTAAGTCATTGTGCATTAGTTATAATTAAGTATATTAGGCGGGTTGGCAATTTTTTTTGGTGATTTGCATGAAAGTTCGCCAAATTGTTCTAGAATATACCAAAAAAAAATTAACATGGTAAGGGTGGTTAAGGAAATGTTTCTGGAATAAAATCGTTATCGAACCAAAAATCACCTAATTTGGCATGCAATAGCGTACACAAATTACATTCATGGGAAGGGTTATATTTCTAAAAAAACGTAGGCGAAAGCACCAAGATGTAATTCTTCATGCTAAAAATTAAAAATCTTTTTACTTATGGGAGGATTTGAATTCTCAAACCCAGAGGTATACTCAACCTTTATTTCCCACCGGACCGCATACATATGTCAGGTATTTCAAGCGGGCCGCAACATGGGGAGAAGGGAGGGGACACCAGAAGACCAAAGCAACATTGCAATAAGTAACATTGGGACACAATATTAAAACTAATTTTTTTGGTTTTATATTTTAATTTTCTATACTAACCTCTCCATCAAACACAAACGAAAATATATAGTAATGAATTTTTTTACACAGTTATGGGGTAGTTTCGCTTTCCTTTCATTCATGACCAATCCCCTTGATGTAAAATGATAGTAGGTATTGGTATTGTGTACGTGGGTCATTCAAACAATTCAATTAAGTTGGTATTTTCCACGATTTATTGATAACATGCTATAAACTTCCATAAAGTAATAATCTTAACCAAATTGAATTACAAAGTAAATTATTAGACTGAAAATAGGCTATAGAAAAATCCTAATATTCGGGAGAAAATCCTAGAAAACAACGGTACACCTAGTTATGCCGAAGCAAAGATCAAAGTGAGTGAGTGAATGAATATTAACGTCACACTGTTTAGCCACACGAGGGCTTTTGGCGACGGACTTCGTCATTTTGAAACATGGTCAAGTGACGTGGTCGGCACCTGAGCCGGCACTTCCCTCTCCAAACTACCACACCACACCAACGGGATGACATTTGAGCTCTCGACAGATTTAGCGTGCATCGCACCCCTACACGGCGGATCTTTTGTGGTAATGGACTCGAACGCGTGACAAGGCCAGCCATGATCCGATACCTTGACCACTCGGCTACCACGGACGCCAAGCCAAGATCAAGACTACGAATTATCCGTTAAAAGCCACTGCACTCGGTAACGCTGAAGCTTAGTTCAAGATTAACACAGCCTTTTAAAGAAAACGTTTTCAAAACTCCACGTATTACCACATTGTTGTTGCCAACTGATTTTGTTCTTTACAACAAATAAAGCTTGGTTGGGTTCTAAGTTTACTTTTTATCACCATAGTCAATATGACGAGATTGGCACTTTAACTGGTTCCTTATTATTCACAACACCCCTTGTTTACATTATACTATTGAAAAAAGCATGTTGATAGCAAAATTGATAGATTTAATTACTTGATTGAAGAATTTCCAGCTAAAGTTTTATTGCATTGTTCTTAAATAATTGATTGGGGGGCAATAGGCCATGACTGGGGCGGGGAGGGGGCGCAGGTTCAGTATCACTGCTGTAATCCCTCCCTTGTAAAAATTCACTGCATGTAACCTATATTTTATTTCAACCCCCATACTTTTTTGATTGAGGAGATAGGTCTATTAACATCACATTAAAAAACAACACGAAGGCTATATTGGTACCCAAACTGGTATCCACTCCAAACTACCACATCATGCCAACGAGAGAACGTGGAGCTTCGACAGATTGAACGTGCATCAGTTCTCCACACGGTGGGTCTTTAGTGACACCGGGTCTCAAACCCGCGACACTCCGGATACGAATCCGTCACCATAAGATACTTCCGATTGTGGAAAAATAACACAAAGAAATTTTAAAAGGACGATTTATTTCTTCTTTATATATAGATTATTGAAAATCTCTTTTTTTTCTGTGTATAAAAACCAACTGTATTACTGAGAAACATCTTTTAAATATTACGGGGAGAAAGCAAAATGATGAAAAAAAATGCTTCTACCTAAAAAGAACTTTAGATTTGCTACAGGGAAATCAATACGCCTCATTTAAAAAATTAAACCTGGATCATTATACCCAAATATGAAAGTTAAAAAAAAATAATAATCAGAGGAACACACAATGTGTAGAATTAAGAATAGATGTGACCTCTTACATTTTTTGCTACGAGACTTTATATCCGCGATTTATTGAATGTTTTAGAAAAACGGAAAAACCATTCAAGAAATTAAAACCGCGAAAAAAAGAAAGAGCTAGATTAAACGTTGTCAAAACGATATCAAATGCGAAAATACCAATAAATAAATCCCGGAGGAAATTCTTTCCACGGTCAAAAGGTCAATGAAGTAGAAATTGGTCAGCGCTGTTGGAATAAAGACGGAGCTTCACGATGAAAACAGAGAAAAAGATGGATCCGCCAAAAAGTTATGCATCCGCCGAATGACTAATCCGAAGATTAAAGGTCGTTAGTGATGGGAAAATGATACTTTTTATCAAGTTGTCTCGCCAGCGGGTTACGGGTGCAGGTATCCGTCCTCAAACCGGAAAAGTAATTAAAAAAAAAAAGAACAGTGTGACCGCACGGCCTCACTTCATTAGGGACGCTGACTCATCGATCTGTGCATAAATAAAGAGCCCGTACTTCAGAACGTTTCTCTTTTATTCCACTTAATGGAAACTACCATACAACACAGAGCAGCCCTTGCACAAATTCGAATGACTTAATGCAGGGGGCAAGTAGCGGTCACAAAAAGTTTTTTTTTCCGGCCCGCCAAAACAGTCAGAAAATCCGCTTTGCATCGAGATTTCTTTCCCGTGTGCAACCAAAGATTCACCCTGTATTTTTCAATTCCTTAATAGTTCACTCTCTCCCTGTATATATATATATATATATATATATCTTGTACAAATTTTCAATCGTTAATAAAATACTTTCTATTTATCCACTCAAGTTCAATTACATTTTTTGAAACTTGTGTGTAGTGGATTACACCTAATGTTTATATAGTTTTTTCAAATATTAATTCATCAATTAAATTACAAAAATAAATAAATAGTATAAACAAAAATAATAGTCCAACACCATATAGAAAGGAAAATCATTCTTTGTATCCCTGTAGCGCAATGCATACGCGCGTTGGACTTCTAATCCAAAGGTCGTGGGTTCGAATCCCAACTGGGATGGCTTAATTTCTGAGAATGTGATTTCTTTTTTACCATTCTATCTTATTACAATAATTAAATTTAATTAATAAATGAACAGTAACGAGAACAAAAAAAAATAGTCCAATACCATATACAGAAAGGAAAATCGCTTTCTGTTTTGTCACTTCATATTGAGATTCGGTGATATGTATATGCATATTTATATTAATTGCAGCTATTTAATAAAAAGTAACTACAATAAAAAATTTTCTTTGTTGTCCTAAGTAGGAATTGACTTAATTGTTTTTATACTACTTGTTGAACGTTAGGGAGTGAATATCACTGACATAACTGGTGAAAGGAGAGGTTCTATTGAGATTTTCGTGAATATTTAATGTTATCTTCATGTCAAAGAGCTTGAGCCAAACGAAACACATTTTCAGGCAGAAAAATGTTCATTTCTCATTTAAGTTCGTGACGTTGTAGCTCAAACATCCATCAATAATAATGAGGCTGCGGTAGCCCAGTGGTTAAGGTATCCAACCATGGCTTGATTGATTGATTGAATATTAACGTCGCACTGTTCAGCTACACGAGGGCTTTTGGCGACGGACCACGTAATTTTGAACCATGATCAAGTGACGTGGACGACACCTGAGCTGGCACCCCCCTCTCCTAACTACCACACCACACCAACGGGAGGACGTTTCAGCTCTCGACAGATTTAACGTGCATCGCTGCCCTACACGGCGGGTCTTTAGTGGTACTGGGCTCGAACCCGTGACAAAGCAAGCCACGGCCGATACCTATACCACTCGGCTACCGCGGCCACATCCAACCATGGCAGGCATGTCATGAGTTCGATACCAGTACCACCAAAGACCCGCCGTGTAGGGCAGCGATGCACGTTAAATCTGTCGAGAGCTGAAACGTCCTCCCGTTGGTGTGGTGTGGTAGTTAGGAGAGGGGGTGCCAGCTCAGGTGTCGTCCACGTCACTTGACCATGGTTCAAAATTACGTGGTCCGTCGCCAAAAGCCCTCGTGTAGCTGAACAGTGCGACGTTAATATTAACTAACTAACTAACTCAAACATCCATTGATCATACCGTGTCATTCGATTTCGATGCAGTCCAGAAACACACTTTTTTCTTTTTCTGCCGTCTCCTGAGCGGGAAATTTATTAGCATTCTAGTAACAAAAGAGATGGGCTAACAATGACCCTTGAAGAAATTTTATATGGTCATTCACAGATTTTGGAACTGTTCAGAAATATTCAGTTTAAATGTTTTAAAATATTCATTCAAAAGCCCGTTCATTTTTTTTTTTTTTTTTTTTTGAATATGCGAAAACTTATAGAAATCTGAATGTTTTCTTCATATATTGGGAACCATTTTCACAATAGTTCATATACTTACTAATCAAAAAAATTACATGTGCAAAAAAGTGATAAATGACCTAATAAATATGCATATTATTAAAATGTATTTATTTGTTTTTATATAGAAATTTTAAAAAAACTAGGAATACATAAGTTACACCTTCTTTTGTTACATTTTACTATTAACTTTATTATCAGACTTTTGGTGAATTTCAAACTTCATACCAAAAATATATCTCCACTTCCCACTACTGAAATAAGTTTTTTCATCACTAGTATATATAGGAGATTAAATATTGAAAACTTTTTTACGAAGATGTTTTACAATGAGCTCTTTGCATTGTCATTCTTAAATTGTTTGATTTTATCAACTGATTATTTATATTTTAAATAAATAAGCAACACCATTCAGTACAGAAGCGTAGCTTTTGTAATACCAAAGATCTTTTTTTCCCTTTAATTTATTTCGAGTAGGTAATGTGTAGATTAACGTGTGTCTAGTGGATAATGTGAAGATCATCTAGGTAATTAGCAGATAACCTAAGTAGTTTGAGAAATAAAGCAATTTTTCGTCCTTAAACGAATCACCCTAGTTAATGTGCAGCTTACCTAGCTAATTTGCAAATTAAAACTGATTTCTGCACTTAGCGGAAACATGCAAAATAATACTCAGAAATACATAAAGAAGCAAACTCAGGATATACACTTGCTCACAAAAGTAAGTATGCAACTCATATCTTAAGTGAAAAAGCTCTAGTTCTCAAATAAATATAAGAAAAATATTATTTTGGAGAGTGTTGTTTATAGCTTCTGATTCAAGTAATGAAGTAATGAAAAATAAACCGAATCATTATATTTTTAAAAACTTTAAGAGTAATTATGTTAACTACCAGTTGAAATTTAAATCACAAATGTATATGTATGCACTCTGAATTTCTGATATTTAAATAGACTGAATGAAACTTCTCGAGTGATTTTTCGTATTTCAGTGGTCTGTTTAGAAGTTCTGTTACGAAGCTCGTAAGTTTGAGCTTTAAGTACATCAACAATTCACCAATGCCTCTACGTGGAAAAGGATTATCAAAAGATATAAAGAATGTAATAATGAAGGTCTGTAAGGAAAGCAAGTCCCAAAGACAAATCGCTAAAATCATAGGCAAAAGTCCTGCAACAGTGCAAAAAATCATTGAAAAGTTCCAGCCTGAGGGAAATACTCTAAACAAGCCAAGAATAGGACGACCGCCCATTTTCACGGATCGAGAAAGGCGAATTATTGTTGGAAATGTGAAAAAAAATCCGAAGATTATAGCGCACCAAAATTGACAACTGATATGAAAAACAATTTTGCAAAGTCATGCAATCCTGAAACAATTCGCCGTGTGTTACTGAAGGCAGGATACCAAGGTCGAAATATGCGAAGAAAATCATTTGTTAGCAAAGTAAATCGCAAAAAGAGAATACATTTTGCAAAAGAAAATGAAAAGCAGAACAGAAATTTTTCGAATTCCGTGATTTTTTTCGGATGAAAGTAAATTCAACATCCACGGGTCTGATGGACACCAAAAAGTTTCGAGGAAAGCAGATGCAATTCTAGAACCAAAGAACATGAGAGGAACTGTAAAACACGGTGGTGGTTCGATTATGGTTTGGGATTGCATGGCAGCAACTGGAGTAGGAAATTTAGTTATAATCGACAGAATAATGAATCAATATAGTTATTTGAATATTTTAAAGAATAATCCAAGCCAAAGTGCTTCTAAATTGGGACTCGGTGGATCCTTCACTTTCCAACAAGATAATGATCCCAAACATACTGCTGGGGTTGTTCGGGAATGGCTGCTATATAACGGGCGAAAACAGGTAAAAACCTCACCTCAGTCACCTGATCTTATTCCCATTGAACACTTGTGGGATTATCTCGATCGCCAAATTAGAAAGCAAGAGATCAAAACTAAGAATGATCTAAAAAATGATCTTTTGGAGGAGTGGCAGAAAATACCATCTTCTGTCACTCAAAATTTAGTAAAATTAGTGCCATCTAGATTGAAAGCTGTTATTAAGGCCAAAGGCTATCCAACAAATTACTAATTTTTTTAAAAAAATTGTAAAATTTGCAATATTAATGTCTTTGTTCTTGTTTGCATACTTACTTTTATGATGTAAATTACATCCTATTTTAAGTTAAGCTCATCTTGCTAATTAAATATTTGCATTTTTTAAATATTTTTCGTTTTGTAATTAAGTTCGATTTTGCTGTAATCAAAATAAATCGTTAATTTGAAAACTCTAATATTGTAGGTCTGTTTTTTTTCATAGGACATCATCACATACACTCTACATACTTACTTTTGTGACTCTCTGTCTAAGTGTATATACTTATTATTATTATTATTACAATTATTTTCGTTTTAAGAATACGTGATCAAAAAGTATACTGCTAAATAGGGAATAAAAAAGTGATATCAGAATATTAAAAATTAAATTAAAGTTAGAATCCTATTTTATCAAAAAAAAAAAAAAAACGAAAAGCTTAGTTTTTCGGTTTGGACAACCTCCAGTGTGAACAGCAATTTTCATTTTCTAATCGAGATTTTGATCCAAAGTAAAATGATGAAAAAGAAGAACTTTGCCACTGCGCTTGGCAACACACAATTGGAAAATTTTCAGTTTCGTAGATAGCAATGCACAAGATTATTAAAAAAAAAAACTCCTGATAAAAAATAAATAAAAATTAAATAAAATCATTTGAAAAAAAATTAGTGTTATTTTGGTTTTTATTTGTAGGATTAATGAAATTAATAGAAAGAAAATTCCATTAAAAATCATAAAATTCTATTAGCACTTTTTTTTCATTGTAGAATTTAACATATTTAGTTCCAGAGCTTCTCAAATGATAATCAGATTTTATACTTGTTAAAAATGAAAAATTAATACCGTGTATACCGCCAATCTAAAAAAGTACAATTAATTAGAAAAAAATTCGAAATACAAAACCCGATTTTGTAAGACTTGGAAACCAATTTTTCAGTTTTATGCATTGGTTGATTAATGATTGATTAACGCCATAACGTCGTTTACGAAACAACACGGGGATCATTTTATGTATCACTAGCGATCACAAAAAACCAACCATAGCTAAGAATACCATATTGCGCATGTTACATATTGATGCAACTGTAAATGTTTACCAACTAATTATTTTTAAAATAGAATTTTCGAAAGCCACACTTTGCGTAAATTGAAAGGCAATAACATTTCGTTGCGCTCTCTCAAACGGACAACCCCTCCCCCTTTCAAAGTAAAAGTTCTCCGCCTCACAAACAGTTTCAAAAGTTCTTATATGCAGGGCCGCTTTTTCACTTGCCTAGTGCCAGCACGTGCCTAAAGGTTTGGGGGCGCAAAATTTGGAGGGCGAAAATAGAGGGAAAATTAAAATTACAGCTAACGAACCACCACCTAGCTAAGCTGTTGTGCGCGGAACTATGGAAAATGAACAGCTCAACAGTTTCATGCCCTCAAAAGGATGCTTCAACGTAAATTTACAATGATGTCATCAATGATTTTGCGATGATCAAAGCTCAAAGAAGACCTTTATTGTACAATGACCTAACAAAGAATAATGATGCCTATAAAAGTAAAAGATAGTAAAGAGCTATATAAG